ATCTGATTAATGTCAAGAAAAGTTAGAGTTCTTGTATTTTGATAAAACTTTTACTGAATGCTTTAACAGTAGATTCTGAAACCTACAGCTGACCTACATTCAACCTTTATGTTTTCAATTTTGGTATTTTAAATAAAGCTTAAAAATCAATTCACACTCTAAAACAATTTTAAGGTCTTCCTGAAAATTAATTTCCAAATGAAAAACAGTGAAAACTTGTACTTCGAGCTCCCTGATGCTCACTGAAATTGTCAATCAGAAGAGAGGCCTGAACTGAGAATCAAGTAAAACCCCCTTGGGGCACTGCTCCAGCCCCACAAAGGGCAGCAATAACGTTGTTGTGGAGAGGCTTCTACGTTACATACGTATTAATTCAAGAAATTAAGCACAGAATAAGCAGCAGCACATCTTTAGTATATTTGAGAACAGTTGTTCAATGCTGAACTGGTTAAAAAAGACTCCAGAGCAATAGAACACCTAATCTAAAAGGACACGAGTGGCACGTCTCGCTTGCTGAAGCTCCCCGGCACGACCGTCGCCCCGCTGGCCCGGATGGATAATCCCGGCAACGCTCCAAGGAAACCGGGCACCTCTCCCGGCCGGCGACAGCGGGGACCCGGCAGGTTTTTCAGTCGGTAACCTTCAGTCAGAGGTAATGACCTCAAGGATTCTTTGCTACATTCTCCATATCCTCTTGCTAAAGCCGATAAGACAAATTAACCTCAAATAAGTAAATAAAGGAAACCCAAGCTACCCTGCTCCTGTTGCAATATTTTTCCAAAAATCTCCACTAAGTTTCAGGAAGAGGGTGAGGGTGGGGAAGGCAAGACATGCGGCCCTAATATCTTTGCCTCTGAAACTGCTATTGTTCCAGCAACTTGAAAATCAATGTCCCTGCTCATGACATTGAAACAACTAGGCTGGAAGGGACTCCTGGAGGTCACCTAGTCCAGAAGTAACCTGCCCAAGTGATTAATATATGAGCTACCATGATGCCCGCAAAACCGCTCCTTAAAATAAAGCCAGTTGAAACCAAGTTTCAAGGCATTTTTTTCCTTTATGGCTTTTCACTCCCACAGAAATGTGCTAGACTCCCTGATACGTGAAAGATCAATAAAGACTTTTTTTGGGTGCGTATTACCACTTACTGTGTGCTAAGAAGCTCTTAAAAACTTTCCCAAGAACAGCAGAAGTTTTAACGACGCATAGGCAACGATCATCACAACATCTCGGTCAGAGCTGCTCTTGAACAACTTTTAATACACTGACCCCAAACTCATCCCTTTGGGGTCTTCAGGGTATAAAACTTTCCCAAGAACAGCAGAAGTTTTAACGACTCATAGGCAACGATCCTCACAACATCTTGGTCAGAGCTGCTCTTGAACAAACTTTCAATACGCTGACCCCAAACTCATCTCTTTGGGGTCTTCAGGGTATGGGGTATTTATTTAGTGAAAAAAAACACATGACCATAACTGCTCTTTTTAATGAACGACAGCAATTCTGTAAACTAACAAGATGATACTTAGAATAAATCTGGCAATGGCAGCAAGTCTTTAAAATATTTTCAGATATGACTATTATGATCCTTACTACTAGGAGGATTTTAATCTGCAACAGTTTTAAGATCTTGAGAAGGCTGTTAGACAACCAACACGGAAAACTAATGCAAAGCAGAAGTGCAGCAAATCCCAAGCACCTCTGAGCCGGAGAGGGAAGGAGCTGCGTGTCCAGATAACACTGGACATACAGAGTATCCAACAGCCCCCTGCAGCGGGCACAGGACGGGGCGGTGAAGCCAACCAGCCCCCCTGACCACAGCACGGGGTTGTTTCCAGCCCTAGCAGCTTCTCCCACCTCCCTGCCAGGCCCAGGCACTCTATCCTGCTCACGATGCCGATGAGCAGCAATCAGGTCTCGTGCCCTCAGCTCCTGTCCGTTCCTCTTCAGTGCCCACTTACTAGGTAATAACTTCTATTTACAACCCTGCTTGATGTGCTGTTCTATTAGTACAGCTGGGAACGGAGCACGGAAAACAGAGGGGAAAAAAAGTCTCTAATGGGCACTATTATTGCCAGGGCTGGGAGATTGATGACATTGCTCGAGGGCTCTGCTATCATCACTCTGCTTTTGGCGAGAGCGCTCCAGGAAGGGCGGCCTTCTGACACAACGCGGTGCCCTACAAAAGTCCAACGCTGCAGGACACCTTAAAAAGCACCTTAAAGGTCCCACGGAACAAAAATAAAAACTACTTTCCTGAAAAGACTGCCCTCCTGACAGCCTATTTGCAACCTCATGGTGTTGTTCTAGCATAGCTACAACCATACACACTCCTTGCTATAAAAAAAGAGCAAAACACAACAGCCTATTTGCAACCTCATGGTGTTGCTACAACCATACACACGCCTTGCTATAAAAAGAGAGCAAAACACGAGCCTCCCACTTTGAAAAGGACTATACACCTGCTCAGCAGAAGCAGTGGAAGAATCCTCTGCATCTCTCAGACCCAAGCTTTAAACTAGAAAAGCAAACAGCACATGATAGACACTGTTACCTTGTGCACCATAAACCCCAGCCCAGCCCACCAGGACAAACAACCTCACAAAATGTGAGCTACCTGCACATACACCCACATAGAATACTAAGGTTCTCAGGAACAACTACTGAGAAATAAAACAAATAACTTAAAAATTCACCAACTTTGTGGATCTAATCTATGGACTGATTGTATTATTACTCCTTTTTCTCTTCCTGTATTGACTACACACTTTGAAGCACAATTAAAAACTATCTGAGGGCACTTAAATACTTCTACCGATTTGTTTCCAGGATTCTTTCGGCTACACAAAAATATTTTTAAATCTGCCTGCTTTGAATTGCATATTTAATCATCTGCACGCTGTAGAGCACAGAAAGACGACACAAATCCTATTTAGCACTGCACCCCGTGTATGTGGGATGTGGCTGCAGCTCCCTTGGTAGCTGCGGAGCAGAACAAGCCTCCCAGCACTAACATCTGCCATCGATCCCAGCATCGCTTCCTGCCCATTCAAACACAAACCAAAACACAGCCAAACTACACCCCAGGCCAAGGCCCCATCTTTCCTCCTACGAACTCTTCAGACTAAAAAGCCTCTCAAGCATCGTACAAGCTACCGAATCCAAGGCTTTAACTCATCTTCGCGCTCCTATCCTTGTCCTGGGGGCACATGCTGGCATACAAGCACTCTCTCAAACACAGCAATGATCCCGGCAAAGGGGAGGACACCATTTGGCATCACAATTATTTTTTTTTGTCTGAAGAACTCCTCCTGCGTGCAAGTTGACAAGCACATGAGGTCGAAACTTTTTTTCCTCCCCCGCAAAGAACTTACTTTCCGCTGTCTTTTGATCTTTCTTCAATATATTAAATGCTATATAATAAGACTAAATGAGGTTTGTGTCTTCCTGAACATTCTTCAGAAGGAACCCGCCTGCAACATAACTTGGTCAAACTCCTTATTTTCTGTTTCAAATGCTGATACCACAGTTGAGCTCACGCCAAAACATTCTTCCTTCAAAACTCTTCAGATAAGATATAATGTAGCACTCCTATAGGAAAGAGGCTGACACACGACGCGTAGCGTTGACCAATGCTGCCTGTATTCCCTTAAATAACTTTCCAGGCTGAAGTTTAGGTAACGTGAAAGTCAGCGACACAGTCTGCGGCTTCCATCTAAAGAGCTCGTCCCTAAATATTATTTCTAGCCAATATGTTGTAACCAATGTTTTATTTTCAGTTCCCATATTTACCTAAATTTCCAAACGCAGTCTTTGAAAACTTTCTTTTTAAAATAGCACTCAAGGTTTGCATTTGAAAAAGAAGGTTCATCTCCGGGCTTGCCAGGTAAAGGACAATAAAGCATTGCAAAACCACTTGGTTTAGCTGACTGAAGATGACTGGATTATGATCTCTATTTTGCTGCTAAATACACCAAATGAACCTACTAAGCATGCAGGCATCAAACATTAGTATAAACTGGAAATAAGAAGTACTGAGGAAAACTACCCAGTGATTCAGTGGACCATTTCCAGCAGCTTCAGCTGCTTTGATCTAAGCAGCTTTTGCTATTCCCATATGGCAGCACAAACAGCAAACCTACTTGCTTTTTTGCTAATCACAATCCTATTTAAAAAAAAAATCATATACTAGTCTTCATTTTCAGTATTTATAACATAATAAAAAAAATCTTTTTAGTAACCCTCTATCAAAATTTGAGTTAACCATTGCAACAGATAACATATAAACACAATCTGGCAATACCATGAGTCAAGCAGCTTCCTTCCTGCACAGGCCGACCTCCATGCCTGCAGAAAGAAGAAAATCCGCATTCCCCGCACTCTGGAGAAGTTGGACCCACTACCTTATAGCACCAAACTTAGAAGCACTCCCTGCCCCAGACCCGCTGCACGGGCGGCACCCTCAGCCGGGCAGTGAGCCAATGCGTTACCACTCGCATCTGCCCCGTGAGAAACCAGCCACCCACACCCTCCACGGAGGGGTAAGGTCTTGGAAAGGATCTAAATCAGATTTAATTTTGCCAATTAATGCAAACATCAGATGTCTGCCCTGTGTCTTCAAATCAACGAAAGTCAGCCCTGCTCCAAATGCTTTCCTACTTCATACTCTGCCTCCCAGCAGCGACTTTCCAAGGGAGCACAGCAATCACTGCACTTAAACTGATTACTTCCGTATTTCTTATGTTTACAAACATCACCCAAAAACGCAGTACATTTAGGGAACCATGTTTAACAGAACTGGGATAAGCTTATCTGCCGTTCTCCTCCCATAGGCACCCTCTACATATGCACATATAGTGTACGTGCATGTGTGTGTGTGCATGTATTTGTGTGCTCCTGAGAGCTTTCTGGTGGTAGTTACTCCCCTGGGCTGTTAACCATAACCCTACAGCCACATGTTACGCAAAATCCCTTGCTCATCCCCTGCAGAACGCACGTACCTGAGTCGCAGGATCTTTTGGTTGCCGTTAGGGAGGCATGAGCTGTGCCTGTGCATGGCCCACCTGGAAACAGAGAACATCCTAAGTCTCGCAGTATCAACCAGTATTTAACATTTACAACCCATCAAGTTTATACTTAGGAATACAGAAACACTGAGGATCGCTCATGTCTTGGGAAAGAAGGCACAGCAGCAGCCACCAGTTTCAGTGTTTCCTTCCCGTGAAATCTGAACACGTCTTGCGCTCAGAAACTAGGTGAGAAGTCGGAGGGGAGAGACAGGTTACGTTAGACTTCATAAACATTTTAAAAGACCCTTTTTTTTTTTTTTGGAAAATGCACATTGTAATTGTAATGTTTCCAGTATTAAAAAAGATGTGATTCATGCTAGAACAAAGCTAGAAGCTTACTTAATTAACCCACAAATAACACACTGGAGGAAATCACTTCTCAGGCTTCAACGAAAACCATTATCAGCAATATAATGATTTTGCCTCTTATCTTGTTCTGTGTTTTTAAAATGCGGTAAAAGCGTACTCCAACGAGCCGTTCTCGTGGCTAAGTCCTGTTGTGGGGCTCTGGGCTCTTTCCCCTGACGTGGTACCTGCTTGGTAGCAGGCTGCTCTCTGCCTCCGCAGCGTCTCCACATGCATCATCACTGAGGAGGTCCCCAGAGATCTCGTTAAGCCCAACGCTGTGCACTCAGTGACTTGCAGTAATAAGTAAATAAATAAATAAAACCCATATAACGAAGCCAAGACAAACCGACAGCAGCATTACCAGCAGTAATCATGCATCATAGCCTTGATAATTGGATATTATAAATCGGATAATGCCAGAGAGCCTGAAATTAGGTTAGAGCTAGCAGAATTTGGCTATTGGAGTATCAATAATCAAGTTTGCCCTGGACTGCTGGTAATGCAGTAGTATCATGTTGGCAACACAGCAGAGCTTAGTGTGATGACAGGATGAGCTTAACATAAGCCTCCCCTACCCTCCAAACAAGCCCCTGAGAAATCCTGTTTCTCACTATTTATCCAGCATTAGCATAGCTGGAAAACCAGCACCATGGCCACAGCTGTCGGTTTTCCCCCCTTTTCAAAGATTTTTCCAACCTGGGTTGGTAGTAAAGCCATTTATTGCCCCTTGCTGCTCTCAGAGTTGCTCCCATCCTCAAGCCGTTCTTCTGTTTCCATTTTTTTCTGTAAGGAGCAGGTCTTGGGTAGCTTCATCTACACTATAAACCTCACAGCACTGTAGTACTACAAAAAACTTTCGTATTGGGAGCAGAACGGAGAAAGGTGCTTCAATGCACTTGATTTAAATGAAATGCACTTGGGAGCAAAACACTCACACTTGCAGATTTCCAGAAAAGGATTGAAAAACTTTCAATTTTCTGTTTTCTCAGGCATCCTGACTGATCCTGGTTGTGATGCTCATCCCAAGCCTGATGGCACCTGCAACTACCCACCACTTCATAACAGTGAGAAACGGTCAAGGTCAAATAATTTTTTGTATGTTTCATTTTACTAGGCTACACTATGAAAAAGAAAACATCAGATTGATTTACAGTAGTAGCACTAGCATCTATTCTTCAAATAGTTTTTGTGTCATTCCTCAAATAGTTTTCATTGAAATATCACTGACAAGCATTAGCACTGTGGATTATCAAATAAAATTAATCCTTGCCATTAGATTACAGTTTTACTATTTACACTAGTTGATGCTCTCAATTCAATTAAATGCAGGATCTTTGCTTGTTATGCACATACTACAGACTGATATGTATTCTTCACCTCACCGTGTTACCAAAGTTCCTTTTTTTAGTCTCCCCTCATTGTGCTTTACCTTTACAGAGCCTCCCTTCGCGCAGCACGGGGCTAGAAATTCAGCAAGAAACAGCTGGGGATTTGTATGCGAGCGCAGCGCGGTGCCTAAGGCCAGTGAAGGCTGCAGGCCCTTTGCAGCACTTCGTTCTGCTGGTTTTTGTCTTGCTCCTGCATTAGGAAGGGCCATGCATAACAGTGCTGGGTAACAAGGGCTTGGCTGGACAGTTGCACATCGAAGTCTTTATGTTGAATCTTTTGGTATAATTATGAGCCAACACAGAAATCTTTATATCATCTGAAACAGGGCTACAGCTTGGATACATTTTTTGCATGGAAAAAAAAGTCAGTCACAGCAGATTGTTGCGTTTTCTTAGCTAGGCACAAAGGTGGCTTATTACTAACATGTTATTCTGAACATTGAGTTTGACCACAAAATATTCCCGTCCGGTGGATTTGAGGTGCACTGGGAAGCGGTTACTGACCAGAACAGGGGATGCAGATTGGGCCAAAACCCATTTTATAAAAGAATGCAGGACCTAAGGGTGTGGTAATACGTGAAAATAATTATACATGGCACAGATACTTGCACCGAAACTGCGAACCAGAGAGTGAATAAACAAGAATATGATGGGGGGGGAGAGGGGAGCAGTTAAAGAAGCCTGAAGCTCACTAATCTCTGTTGACGGGATATGAGACTTTTGAGCACTGCTTTGAGCTTTCAGTACCACGGCAGTTCCTCCCCCAGAAAAGCCCCCAAACTCCCCACATGCAGCAGCTGCCGGAAGGTGGTCAGGTAAGAGCTGGATGTGCAGGACAGGGAGAGCGTTAGGGCTATTTGCCATGCGGGAGGGAACACTTCTCTAGACCCGTCCAAACCACTCATCTAGCTGTGCATTTGCTCAATTGGTAGAGACACAATTTAATTAATCTACCCAATTGAGTTTGAAAACAGTCATTGATTACGAGCCCAAATACATAAACAAAAGGTAATCTAAATCTCTAATTTCTGTCTATGCAGACAGAATACAGTTTCCTTACAGAAAGAAAAAAAACCCCAACCCTTCTATACTTAAGAACTACTTAGTTTATGCCCCCTGCAGCAATTGCAGGATGATTTCAGTTGCATCCCTGCTAAACAGGTAAGAGGATTACATGGCACACAAACACACCCGTTTTAAAATCCAGTTCTACAAATCCACCATTACTTACTTTTGTGGAGCTTTATCTACATGCCTTTTTGGAAGAAAGAAATGGGAGCTGGGGAGCTTTGCAGCTCCAAATTGTACTTTGAAAACCCGTTGTTAAGTCACATTGTTAAGTCACTTTCTGCAGGCCCTAAGGACACGTGCAGCTCTTGCCAACACTTTTCTCATCCGACACTGCTTCTGCTTCATGTTCCTTGGGATCCTTTCACTTCAGTTAATAGGACCCCAGAACACACTGCTTGCCCTGCACTGTGAAGGGAAGAGGAACCGGCAAGGAACACGGGTGCTGTTCTGCTGGTCTTCTGAATTATCATGCAACATATGTGAGAAGATTTAATAAACATGATTATTTCACCAATCTACACGCCAAATCTTTCCAGCTTAAACGTGTAATATGCAAGGGTCATTCTATATAAGAAATTGGGACTGTAGGGATTAGGCTGAAATACACAGAAGAATCTTTGTGCCATTATACATTGACAAAGGTGACACTTTTAACAGAAATTTGAATTCAAGGCGGGGGCGAAGCACCAACTTCCTCTATGTGCTATACTGACATCTAAGACTACTGGCATTTCCTAAGAGATAGCTGAAATATCCCACAACTCCATGCAGTTTTTTACCTGAAACTATTTGTGCAATAAACTATTTTTGTGCAACAAAAAAAAGCCTCAAAGAAGAGTTAGTTCTTGCTTTGTGGCTCAGAAATGCAAAGATGACAGTGTATCAAACAGCCAGGTCCATATCGCACACTAGTGGTGTGTTCTCTTCAGCTTCAATACAAGATTCACAAAACTGTGTAAGAAAAAAAAGAGCGTGTGTTGTTGTTGGGAGTTCATGAAGAAACTTAAAATTATTATGTTATCCCCTAAGCTGAACCTTTATCACTTATATAGGAGCGCAAGTTTAATGGCAATACTAAATCCTGTGGCCAGGCAACAGGCTAGTGTTGCAGCTCAGCACAATTTTAATAGCTGCTACATTCTTTTCGTTCAGTGAAAAACCCAAGGAGCAGTATGAGAAGAAAACAGGTTGGCGACTATGTAGATTATTTTCTACAGCCATCTATGACAAGAGAGACAAAAACAGATGGCCGCCTTGGTTTGTTTACACAGGTAATTATAAAAAGTGCATACACATAAATTTCTCTTTCTGCCTTGTCTTTCACTGAAAGTTCCCTTTGGCAAGAATTAAAGACAGGAAAAAAAGTGGCTCATATTGCAACACACAGGTGCACTCTCAAAGACAGGACATTTTTTAAAAAGGCGTATACAATATCTCTTAGTCTCCAAAATCAATTTTCATTTTAAAAATCACTGTCTCCATTTAAAAAACACAATCAAGATGACCACAGTAATAATGCAAAATGCTGAGTATTTTCACAGCACGCACAGGAAAGCTGCCAAGTTCTGATTCTGCTGACAAACTCAGGCTGAACTCAAACAATGTGAAGCAGTTATAAATCACCAGAAAGCCTGTGCATCGTGTCTGAGACATGGTCCTTCAGCAAAAAAAGCACATTTATGCATTCTTCACAGGGGCTTGTTGACAAAACTGACATACAATTTTTTTTAATCCACTAAACACAGGGGAGGAAAAAAAAAAAAAAAAAAAAAGAGCTTTTTTTAGGTTAATAGCCACTGAGGCTATCTTTTTACACAGTCATGTTTTAACAAGTACCTAGCCAGGAAATTCAGAGTTTAATCATCTAATGGGGCCTTAAAAAAAGAGGAGTCATCTGTCACCTCTTTGCCAGGGCTCTTCTACAGCAGCCTGGTGCATCTCTGTCCAAGATGCATTACTTTGCATGCACATAGTTTAACTTCACCAAAATAGTTTCATAATTAAGGAATTTTAGTGCTTGCCGCACATCCAAATGCTTAATAGCACAAGCAACATTTTAAAGCACTCCGTAAAGCTGTCTTGAAGATTGTGCATTTACATATTCAAGATAAACTGTTTTTTTTAATGCTTAGCTTGACAGCCAATGGTCCCCACCTTGGCAGACCTTGAGGTCCGCGCGGAGTTGCCGTCACAGCAGATGTGGTCACTTGGCATCACCTTCCTGCCGGGGCTGCAACCTCCCAAGCCCTTTCCGACTCTCGCAGCATGTCCTCAGTTCCTTTCCTACCCCTTAAACAGTCCTCAGCGTAGAAGTACGGAACATTTAACCATTCTAGAAGCATCAGACATCCCTTTTGTGCTTTTTCATTGCAACTTGTTAATTCAAGGAAGCCAGGAAGATTTGAGCAAGTAATTACAATAAAATCATGGTGACTGGAGCTAAGAACTAGTGAAATATCAAGCCTGATGCAGCTGCCAGAGCTGGAGTTGTTCACCCTGACATTTCTTCTGTCAGGCAACACCTCCAAGTTGGCGTTAAACCTGCACAGTGTCAGCTTTAAGAGTATTCATACAATGACAGAAAAATAATGTGACAGCCCTAAGGAAAGCAATGAAAGTCAGGAAAGCCAGCAAAATTAATTCATATGCAGTGTGACCTTTTCTTGAAGAAAATCCAAAATCCCTACTTAATAAGCAGATTTTTAAAGAGTGCTGGAGGTTGGAGGTAGGGGACAAGAGAAGCAGGGAGCCCTTGTCAAATTCCTGTCTTCTCCCTGCTAAGGAAAACAAAAATAAACTAAACCTTAAATCCCTCGCTGGATGAAGAAAGGAGATCTTGCCAAAGCAACAGGCTCATTCCGTCACTGCTACTGAAGTAATTACTGTTAGGATGAAGAGAAGACAAAAAAAAAAAAAACCACCCTTTTTTATTATGTAGAGCTTGATTATAGAAAAAAATTTCTGCACATGAAGTAGAGCAACAAAAGTTGATCCAATTCACCACTATATCAATATTAATATATTCATCTCCAGAAGCTCATTATATTTCAGATACTACATGGACTAAAGATTTCAGATAGAAAAAGGAAGCTCAAGTAGCATATATTTTTTTAAAAAGTCTTATTTTCCCCTCCAAAAAAAAAAAAGTTGCAATTTATCGGTGATAATACAATAGTTCCTCAAACAAAACAAAATAAAAGGAAATAAAAACGAAATAAACCTCCAAGCTTGTGTCACTACCTTTGGGTATAATTCCCTTTTCAATGCGTTTTGACAGAACGCTTCTGTGACGCTGGGAACTGCTTTCCATCTACAGGCACAAAGAGTGAATAATCAGCAAAACTGACATCCGAGTCGGGGATTGCTCAGCACTGAGCGTGACAGGAGATGAAAAGTTACTGCAATTTGGTGGTGTACACAAGACACTCAGGAATTTAAACGCACCTCCCATGGAAAAGTAAATCCGCAGCAAAGAAAGCAGAGATCATCCTTGCCTGCTGCATATGAATCACCCTGCTAGATTCTTATGTTCTCTTCAGTTTTCATAACATGACGAAGGGATTTTTTTTTTTATTATGCAAAACACTTGTTGCAACTCTATCCAACCTGTTTATCCTATGGACTAAATTAAAACTATTTTAGAGCCTTGATATGAGACTCTTCTCACAAGCCTAAAAAGGAAGATAAAGCAATGGAAAGCACCAGCAGTTCTCAAACAGAATCCTTCTCCATATTCCCATCTTTCCACACTTTGATGGGAATTGACCTAATGATCCCACTGCAATTGCACTGGCCCTCACACCGTGCTGCAAAACACCACCCCTTGAAGAATAGGGCTGTAATGAGAGCAGCCTGCACTTTATAGAACTTCTTACAAAATAAATAAATATTACAAGAAAAAGACACCTTTAAGTTAAAATTAAAAAAGACATTTGAAGTATAGACATTCGTCATTATGGGAGAGAACCTTCCACTGTGAGGCCGTTATCCATCGGATTTACTCCATCTGTGTAAAATTATTCCTGATAAATGATACTAAGCTTCATTAAAGAGGTAGTGGGGAAGCAAGACAAGAGAAATATAGCTCAAAGTGTAAATAAAACTCTCCACTGTATTCCACTTAAAATCACCCCAGCAGCAAGTCATAAAGGTAGTATTTGCCAATGCTCTGCAGGCTGTGCTGCCTAATCTCCATCACGGTGAGCGTACATTCACGAGCGCATGGCAATCCTGCATGAAGGACACGTAATTTAATTTCCATCCATTCTTTTCACCCTGTAATCACCTTCTCACTCAGCTCCAAGCCCTTGTTGGACACAACTGAAACACTTCGCTTCAGCAGCGGTTAATTCTTCATTGAAAACATTTTCTGTAACTAGACCCAGTAACACAGGAGAAGCATCCTGCAACCACAAGTGGTAGGTCTTAGCCAAAAAGCAAGCAGAGGGGATTGAAGCCCCTGCCCCGTGAAGGCCCACATGTGTGGTAAAAGCCCTATGAATTGCTGAATTCTCTAGGCAGGATGTTTTAAAGCTCTGCTCTTGCTGCACATCACTAGTATTGCCATGACGGAGCGCTGGGCGGGAGGAGGGGAGCAGAGGCCAGCAGCAGCTGTGCACGGGACGGAGAGAAAAGCCACACAGCAGGTTACGTGTCAGTGTAAGACGTGCGACCACACAGCCAGGCTTCAGCAACACAAAGTGCCTGTTAGCTCCCGCGTGTACATTATGTGCATACATGTATGCATATGCATGTATACACACGCATATCTGCACATATGTGCACACATATATACAAAAGACTTGTGTTTTTTTTAAAAAAAAATTTATTGCTCAATAAACTGCCACAATCCCAAAGTGTATTTGGTGTTTACTGCAACTCTGCATAAATAAAGAGAATATACGTGCTAGTCTGCCTATCTGTAAACAGATGAGCAGCCCCTCAGAACCATCCTATGGCCTTTGTTAGCACAACTGAAACCAAACATGGCAACGCAGCAGAGAACTTTGTCTGCATTCTTACTTACAGCAGTTGCCTCAGTGCTCAAGAACCTCAGCAACTCTCACAGACTCCTTACCAAGAGGAGTATATATAGTATTGTATAGTAGTATAGTATAGTAGTATGTGTGGCTATCTGCCAGCCACTAACTGCAAGTGAACTCAGCCCAAGAGCTACTCTTTCTACGGAGCACCTTCTAAGACAAGCAGAGCTGTAGGTTTGAGGAAAATGAAAATGCAAGTTTCACATTTGAGCTTAGGCTATCAGAAAGCAACCTTTAAAGCCCTTATTATGTGCAGCAGGAACTCATATCAAGATACAGAGTAATTTAAAGTATGACTGCTTCTCATGACATGCTTGCTAAATTTTAACAGCTTAGCTTGCCTTTAAGGAGGATTTTAGCCTGACAGAGTTCAATAAAGAGTCACAAAAGACGAGATGGTCACCACATGAAGCTTAGCTTCATGCAAGTATCTAGCAGCAGTCTAGACATGAGTGTATTGCAGTCACTGCTGTCTCAAACTGCAATAATTTAAAATATAATATTTTAAAATCAAATTAAAAAATACTGATGCTTATCTCGGACACAGAACACAGACATATATATACACACATATATTTATGTATTTAGATTTACAATATGAGAATTTCATAAAATGAGAAAAACTGCTCCAAATTAGAAACTAAATTGCATACTGAGCTCAAAGAGCGACAGAATTGGTTAGAAACTCCTTTGACCTCCTCTAATTTGCTCCTTAGTTAAAACCACCGGTTTCTATTTTCTGAATAACTTCCACTTATCCCTCCTTCTCCCCACCATCTACTTCCAAGAGGAGTCAGTTAAACAGGAGGCTGAGAAAGAGGCCGAGAAGGAGGCCGACCACCTGCCCCTGCGTCGCTCTCGCGCAGGAGCCGGGCACTTACATTCCTCTTTGCTGGGTGAAGTTACATTCAGGTCTGTCAAAAGTTGCTGGTTGGGGTTAGCGGCCTGCGTGGTTAGAGAGGTATTGCTGTTGTCACTGTTCGTTTCTCCAGAGAACAAGTCTGTCTGGCTGCTGCTTGTGCTGGGAGAAGAGTCATCCTCTGGCTGCTTCTTCTGGAAATCTGCCAAAAACAAGATTTCACACTTCATGCCACTTGCTCAGTCAAACCACAGCTTAACTTTACGCAAGAAACAGAACAACCAAAATCCCCCCAAGGTAGTGCTGATCATTTCTACACCTGGTGCAGCACAAAGCTAGAGTAGCCTTCAGCTTCTTCACTTCAGAATTGAAGTATTTGAAAGCTTACTGGTTGTTAAGCAGCAACAACTGAACTCAGTCTTGTTCCTACAGCTGTAACTGAAGAGCCTCCTAACTTACTGCTGTGTAGATCAGCACGTAGCCCGTAGAACTGGTTTAAAAATCGTTCACACAAAGCAAGTACAAAAGCAGAAAAGTGCAAGCATCTGGTGAGGGAAGAACCAAACATGTAATGCAACTACAGAGTAATTTAATGCTTCTCTAAAAACCAGTCTTGTCACTGCTGTTATATAAAATCCTACCAGAAGGGCGCAGTGAGGGCAAAGCTAGTGCAGACAGAGGTGACTTGAGGGCAGTATGGTTACACGCACTCTATGGCCTGCTCCTGCTGGAGTGGAATAACGAGAAAAACGTCTGCAAGGGCCTACGTGAAGCTCTATCTGCACTGGCAACTTCAGTTATGCCAGGCCTAGTAGTAACCACACTGGGAAATGTTAGAGATGTTAAGTTTCAATCAAAGCAGCTTCCTGAACAGAAAAATCAATCGTCTCTACAATATTTCCTTTAATATACAACCAACCTGCTCTTTGACATTTCTGATGCCCTTAGATGTTCAGCCAAAGACCCAAGCATCAGCTGGAGATGTGTATTTAATACATATTATCTATGATTTGTATTTGAAACTGTGGCTTTTAGCAGCTTCAAAGCCTATTTAAAACTCTACAAGATTTGCAAAGCTGAGCCGCTGCAGTATGTCTGCTTTTCGTCTAACTGTACAGAAAGTTCTTTGAAAGGAAAATTCTCTACCTCATTTACATCTTTATTAAAAATAATAAAAAACAGAAACTTTTTTGTGTTTGCAAAATGTAATTTTTAACTTTCATTTTTTTTGTTGTCATTCTACACCCCCACTGTCTCATGTTTTTTCTCCCCACATGCACACAGAACAGAAATACTCAAGCACTCCTATCCCTTTGCAAAAAAAAAAAAAAAAGAAAAAAAGATTAAGAAAAAAATAAAAAAAGAAATATTTTTGCAACATATAAGCCAATGCCTGCTGGCAATAACGTTTGTCACATCCCTCAGATTTCTGGCTGAGCATCGATGCTCCTCCCGCCCCAGAGCTGCTAGGAAGGTGAACAGAGCTGCCTATTTTGCACCCCAGGCATGCACAAAAGTGACCCTGTACAGCGTATTAGAGATGAGAGCATCTCTGTGCTTGAGGAGCAGCGCAAATAATGGTTATACTCCATATTATGCACCAGGAGCAATCTATAAAATCCATTAAAAAGACAGTGTAAAGTTACAGAGAAGTAATAGATACTATGAAACATATTAAAATCCAGCAAGTTAAAAATTTTCTCAGATGGGGTATTTCTTTTTCCTAGATTGATAAGAATATTTTGCTGCATGAGCTGCTAAAGCATCATCCACAAAAAGACGGACTTACAAACAAATTTTAAATATATTTGAGAAAGCCTATATAACAGAAGTCCCAAAAGTCCTTAAAATAACAGTACAGCAAACACTGGTGCTGCACTTTATCTCCCAAAGCTATTTGCCTACCATGTACATCGACCAGCGTTTTTTTTTTTCTTAAAAGCTAATCACTTTTACCCTATTGATAAATTTCCCCACTCAAAACAGAGCACAAAAGGCTGACATCATTCAGCAACAGCATTTCCAAAATAGCTCGCTAATGAAATAGGCTAGAGCTGCCACGCAGCAGCAAAATCCTCTTTTGCAGTTAAACGCTATTAGCTTTCATGCCTCCAGGTTGTCACGTATTCAGAACTGGTTTTCACTCAGTTGGTAAATCAATTAACTTCCAAAAAAGTCCCAAACTGCTCAGTTATGCAGACCCGAGAATCTGCTGTCCCCTCCCCAACACTTTTCCACTGCAGACAAGAGTAGTTAAGTAAAATGCTGAAACTGCTCCTCTCCAAAGTGTGAAATAGTTTTCTGGATTTCCCCCCAAAACTCTGCTCCTGAGAGCCACACAGAAGCTTTTAAATTTATTATACTTCCCTTCTCTAGCAAGTCAGTCTGTTTTACATTTCTGCAAGAATTCCTGCATGTCCTGTCTTCCAAGAAGGTGATTCCATTTAAAATAGAGCTAAATATCTACCAGTCCAATGTGATGTTTCACCTCTTTGTTACCACTGGTGAACACATTGCAACAGCAGAGCCTGGAAAACTGGAGACGGACATAGACATGAGGGTTCCACACTTCTGCTAACATCCAGCTATTTCACTAATACACTGCATTGTCAGAGGCAAATTGCCTGCATATGTGCAATATTAAATAAAGAGAACCCTAAATTATTCTGCTTTGAGGGTCTTTTGCTTCTCCTGGGAAGGAAAAAAAAAAAGCGGGGAGAGGGGATGGAGATGAATGAGTAAATAGCACTGAAATTTAGATGAACACACATTTTAAAGAACTCCACCTCCTAAAAGCACCCACATGACTCATGTGCAGTGCTAAATCCATCACCAGCTCCAAGCCCAGCTTTCAAACATAAAACAACATCAAAAAAAGCTGAGTTTGCCACTAAGATTGCACAGCATAAGAAGAGTTCTCATCTCTGAAAACATATATTAGCACCAAGCCAGTGACACAACGAAACCAAGTCAGTCCAGCTGGATGTCTGCAGCGCAGCAGGATAGAGCACACAGCAAATACAGCTGCAGCTACACCCTGCAGGCACTGCACGCTGCCTCAGTAATGCCATCTCAACCCCAGCATGGGACCTCCTCTGTATCATAACTTACATACGTGAGTTATCACTTTATAGCTTGTAGCCCAGTATTTTCCTGATGCAAATACACGTACTAAGGACAGCCCCGACTAGCTACATTATGTGCCAGCCACATATGAGTGGACTGCACTTGGCTTCCTCTAATGGACTCTTAATTAATTCCAATTAACACAAGTACCTTGCAGATGACCTTGCTCTCCCTCAAACGCAATAGAAGGGGGCAGCAACTGCAGGAGTGCGGTGCCTAAATTCAGGCAGCTAAGCCTAAACTCCTTAACAGGTAACATACACCATACATACACGACACAGGCAAGATCTTGTCAAATTTTTAAGGAAAAATCAGAACCTCATTTTATGCATAGAATAATGATATCCATTAATAGTCTCTAACAAAATTAATTAAAAATCATCAAGAAAATGAAAGATAGGACAAGAAATTTGTAACTTCCGTTTTTTTAAAAAAGTTAATAGACGTGCAAAATGCCTCCTATTTATTTATTTTTTGTTCTGTCGATACTGTGGCTTTCACTGAATCACAAAATCAGTGCCATGGTGCTACAAGAACTGCCTCCAAAATCCATCAAATTAGCCGTGCTCTTCTAGTTAATATAATGCTGTATTTTAACATTTTGCAGAAAAGCTTTATATGTTACAAAGTTTTAATGAAAAAGGATTATGGTCCTTTTCCTGCTGTCAAAAGCATGTTCTTCCTTCCTGGCTCAACAGTGTCCCCCTTCTGTCACCCTCTTCTGGTCACTTTTCAAGTGCAGGATACCTTGTTCCAAGAGGGAGTCAGCACCAAACTAAGACATGAGAACTACTGCTTCTTGCATAGGGGAAGAGCAGAAGAAAAGACCTAACAGCAAAACACTTAAAATACATCCAGCAACATTTTAGTGCACTGCTGGTATCGGGCACCAACACCGACAGTTTTCTAGTTCTAAAACCCTTCTGCCTTGTGCCCAGGGAAGCAGCGACAGAAACATCTCGGGCCGAGCTCAGCTCTCATGCACGGGACATGAACAGTGAGAAGGGCTGCATGTTGTTACGTTACTGCGGATTTATTTGCAAACAACACAAGATATAGACATGATATAACTATATTTTCAATACACTCTGAGTTCATGTAGCTTAGATAAAAGAAAAGCAAGAAACTGTGACAAGCACATATGTTTCTAGAGTTCAGAAGTCAGTATTTTTTTATATGATAATCTTTTGTCCTTTTGAACTCATAAAATAACACTGCTAATGAAAGCCATTGCCTTTACAGCTTCTGATTCTAACCCTTAAAAATCACAAGTGCCCAACAGCTCAGAAACTGTCTGCTGCAGAGGACTAACAAACTCGTGCCCAACATCTGTACTGCTCCAGTCACCGAGCTCCCAAAGTATCTTCAGTCCATCTGTTACACCAAGACTAAAAGGAGAAAAAAAAGAAAAAAAAAAATCCATCTAGGACATCCCACCCATTTCATCACCTTAGGGACTCCTGATTCTGTAATACAAAAATGAGTCAGTTCCAATTCCAGTACTTATTCTAATAATGTCCTCAGCTTTGTATTAATTGCAAGGGGCCTAGAGCTGCAAACATGGAAGGACCCTTAGGCTTCTGGTAAATGAGTTTTGTCACTGGAGTCAGTGAAAATTCACAGTGAAAAAGACAGGTAGGTCAAAATACTAATGGATTTTGTATTTGGCCCCTTTTTTTTTTTTTTTTCCTCCTTGTTTGCACTCATGCTTTGGTAAAGTAAATAATAAAGTTTATGAGACTCTTAAGGGGGCCTAAATTTAAGCCATCCATTACGCTTGTTTTAAGAGTCAAGGTTACATATGTTTCCTATTCTTTGATCGGTAACAGATGTTATCACTAATAAGCAATGAGTGCATTCAAATAAATGATGTGCCAGAGCAAACATCAGCATACTAAGAAGAGAAAATTACGGAGTCTTTAAGGTAATTAGTTTGTTTGATACTTGATATTGCACCATTTCTTTATTCTTCTGTCCCACCGCTCCCACAACTTAACAGAGTGAACTTGCAAAAAAGTTATGTGGAGGGTGCTTGATTCTTGCACAGCATTACATGTACAGGCTCTACAAGAACATTTTGTCCTTTTACAGAGCATAAATTAAT